TCCCATAAAACTGATGGATTGGTTGGTTCGTCCCATAAAATTGATTGGTTGGCTCGTTAACTTGCGGTAAATATATCGCCTTTTACGCACCATTTCTTTGAGCAATTTTTATGAACAAGCGCACAGACCAGTTTAATTTTTTTTATAATTATTTATAATATAATCACCCTAGTTTAGTTTTGTGAACTTATTACATATTTTATAATGCAGTTGTTACACGAAAATAGTTACTTAATGTAATTACTACAAACATTTATACACTTTTTAGTTTTTGTCCGTTTATCTGATGGAGTTTCAATATCGACTTCCAGATTAGCTTAAGAGCCTAAAATTTCAGCAGCAACAAACAATTTCAACTGTTTTTTTAAAATAATATTATACTTGATTATTTGCAGTAATTAGTCATAGATCGTATTTAATGTTATACTCTATTTTCGCTTCTTCTCGACATGTCCCGGTTTTTAGGAGGGACTTCAAATTATAGTATTGTTAGTAATAATAGTAATAGTAATATATTTAAATAAGTCTTTATAGATTACATGACAAATAAATAAAAAAACAATCCAATAAACAGATTAAAAAACAAAAGCATTTTTTTTTTTTTTAATTATTATTATTATTATTATTATTATTATTATTATTATTATTATTATTACTGTTTTCTCCACGAAAAAAGCAACAAATTTAATATAATAATAATAATAATAATAAAAATAGTAATAATCATTTTGATATGTCAAATGAAATTCTAAATAACAAATAAGTTTTCATATACAAATTTTTATAGTTGCTTGGAATTAAAGTTTGCATGAAACAATCATTAACTATAATTACAGGAACTTGTATACTATAATTACAGGAACTTGTATACTATTATTACAGGAACTTGTATACTATAATTACAGTAGCTTGTATACTATAAATAAAAAGAAATACAAATAAACGATGTAAAAACAAGAGAGAGATTGAATTCTCAGAGCCCGTGATGTTCATTTTTACTCAGGAGTCCTTCATTAAGCAGGAAATTTATAACAAATAGTTTTGTTCAACTCATAAAAACTAAAAAGAAATTCTCTGTTTATCATGATAAATACCCAAATTAAAAGAAACCTATAGGATTTTTGAACAAAAAAAAGTTGTTTGAGACCCGTAAAATTAAAAAAAAAATTAATAAAGATGTCTCTATCAATCAGATTTATGTTATTTTGATTCAGAACTATAAAACTTATATAGACCTTTTATTAAGGATAGTGTTCTGAGCCCTAGGACCCTAGCGCGAATCATAATGAATTAATCAATCTAACGTCTTTTTGATCTTTTTGTATGGGAAAATAATATATGTTTCTCTTGACATTACTTGCTAGAATTTTTGTGTAATTAAGCCAAATTTTAAAGTTAGTTGCAGTTAAATTTTCTATGATGTGTTTTGTAAAAAAAAAAAGTTTTTGTAAAAAAGATATTTTACCTTATATGGCTCACCCTCGGCATTATAACTTTCTAAAATGTCTTTGAAGTTATTGTGTAATGGAACAACATTTTTTTTTAGTTTTTTTAGTTCGTGTTGCTCAGTAGCTGAACTCTTCTCTGCAACCTCAAAAATACTTGCCATGGTCCCCAAAATTTCTGACACGGTAGAGGAACTATAGGATTCATCAATAGCATTGTTTTCATCTTCTCCAGCAAATATACGTAAACTTTTTTCATCTAGACCAATATCGCTTTCACTATCGTGAGCAGGAAAGTCTCGTTTCTGTTGAGTAGGGAAACTGTTAGGGTTATTTTTCGTAAATATACTTTCCTTCACGAATATTTGTGGCTTACTTTTATGGCCTTTTTTATTTTGTTCTCCATCGATACTTTTTATATACTCAACCGCTTTTTTATATAAGTCCTTTTTGAGCTCGCGGTTTGAATGAAAAGAATCGTTTGTCATAATGGCCGTTTTTTTTAGTTGAAGAATATTCTTCAGATTTTTAAGCGTACTTTTAACAAGTTCATTTTGGTGGTCATGAAGTTTTTCGTCGGTAATTAACTGCCGCCTGACCTTTTCTAAGTAGGATTGCCTGTTAAAAAGGTTTTTGTTTCTGATGGCCTGAAAAAAGTCGCGGGAAAGAAAATCGTTATTTTGGTATTTATGACTTTCATCAACGCCATCTTCGTTTCTTACTAAAAAAAAAAGAATGAACGTTTTAATTAAGATTTAAAAAAAAAAAAAAAAAAAAAAAAAAAAAACTTTTAAGCTATATGCTGCGTTATATAAACGTTTTTATAATTGTAATAGGTCTCATGTAAACGTTGTTATTTTATATATATATATATATATATATATATATATATATATATATATATATATATATATATATATATATATATATATATATATATATATATATATATATATATACATAGTTACACTTTTTTTATTATGTTTATCGATTTCCTATTATGCCTACTATTTTCATGTGAAAATGATGCATAAGATACTCAAATAATATCTGTTTGGTTGATAATTATTTTTAAAATAATGTTTTAACTGAGGTTTATTAATAAAGAAAGAAATGCATACGTGTGAGTGGGTTAAAAATTTATCGATAACAAAAATTGAAAAAGTAACAATATTTATATAGTCCGATAAAGTTTTTATTTTTTGAAAGTTTTGCTTTGGTATATTCGCTTGACTTCAGTTCTTAATGATATTAATGTGATCTTCTTTTTTTTATTTAATTGCGTTAATATGGATTTGGGTTTAAAGTTGATTAACGTTTTAAGATTTTAATTGACATCAAAACTTTAAAAAAGTTTTATAACCGAGAAAATTATTAATTTACTTTTATATATAATAATAATTTTTAAATTCATTTATTTTAAATTAAACAGCAAAAGAGGATATACAAATTAACAATATTTTTAAAGCTAACGCAAATTTACTTCTAAATAAAATAAGCGTATACGCTTATCTATATATAGATAAAGCATTAATTTTTTTTTTTAAAGATTTGATGTTTTTAATTTAATAATACAAATCGAAAAATAAAATATTTATTTTATCTGTGCAAAAGTTTTAAACTTATAATCTTGTAAAAAAAAGTGAAAGCAAAAGTTGAAAGTAGGACAGTGAGCCTCTGCTTTTGAAAATAAATTTCTGTCCTTAATTAATAAAATTTTAGTGACGTAAACCAATCGCTAATTCTAATTGTTATATAGAAAATATTTAGTAAAAAATTGCATCAAAAAAATATACGAAACTTACCCGAAGATAATAAATACACTACTTCTAATATAAATAAAATCCGCGTACGCGTAGTCCTTGCACGCATACTCTTCTAAAACCCACTATTTGTACGCTGCTATTTAAATTCATCGGTGTATTTTTGCTTTGTGACCGATCATTTATGCCACAATTTTAATAAACCAAAAAACCTTCACTAAAAGATTAATATCTCCTGTTTTAATATTATTAAATAGTTAAACTTATATTTATCAATATAATTCTAAATAAATAATTTTATAAATATTATCTTTAGTAATATTCCTTAATTCAGTATTTTTATTATCACTTTTTCTTAATTGCCTAAGAAGATCACGGATGATTGGCTTAATAAGAGACCTTCAGTATACAGCTATTGTTTTCATTCCACGCTCGATTAAAGTTTACAATGAAGTACCAGCAAAGTTGTTAAAAGATCAAGAAGGTAATTTCTGTTCGATCTGCAGAAAGAGCTCGTGTTGCAGCAAAATATTGTAAATTATACTTTATTTTCCATTAAAAAAAAGATAAAAATATATTTAAAAAAAATAAATGTTTTTTTTAAGCATTTCTAAGGTATAAAAGTTTTTTTTAGATTTTAGTTATCAATGTAATTTTGGTTACTACTTTAATCTGCAGAATGCTTTTTGTTTCTCTACTTAGATTTGCGCTGTTTACCGCACCATGTAAGTGAATATTGATGAAGATCAAATTCAAACCAGGACTATATAAAAAATTTATATTTAAATATTAAAGAAGATTTTAAAAGACATTATAAAGAAAATATATTAAAAGCAAAGAAAAGTGATTAAAAGTTATGGAAATTAAATTAAACGTAAACGAAATTAGAATTGAAGAAAAGTAGTTGAATGTAAATTAAAAGTAAAGGAAAGTAAACTGAATATAAAGGAAAGTAACTTAGAATAAATTGAGAAATGTTTTGGAAAAGTTGTAAGGAGCTTTCTTAAAAACAAAAAACAAAAAAAACATCTTTTTTTCTAATAATGAATTGCTAGTAACAATAAGTTTTCTAATTTTTAGTCGCATTTTTCCATTTCATTTTGTTCACGCCGCCAACTTTTTTACTTTAAATTAAGTACAACTTCATTTTTCTGTATATTTATTTCTAATTAGCATCAGAATCATTACATTTTCAAAGTGTATATAAAGTTTTCAGAGTGTATATCAAGATATAAATGTTATTGCCGTTTCCTTTCGTTGGGAAAACCATACGTTCCATTGGGAATACCATGCATCCGTTGTTAGTTACAAAATAAAATAAAATAATGATAATAAAGTTTCCCGTTTTTTTAAACGCAACAGTTTTTTTTTAAGTTTATATTAAAATTGGGAATGGTCTGTATAACGAACTAAATAGAGGCTATTTAATACACTAATTTTTATTGTTAAAACCTGAGAAAGAAATAATAATTTCATTTAATTGTCATTGAAAAAATATTCCAAGGGTTACACCATCGGCTTGAATGCACCATTTTAAGTTAGCAAAAGTAGAAAATATCTAAATGTATTCATATTATACATCAAAAATAATTTTTTGCGTTCATGGAATCTATTTTCGACATAGAAATAAAGTTTCAATCACTCTGACTGGTGTACTATATGTTTTTTTGTTTTTTTTGTAGTTATTTAGGTGCTCCCAGAAGTCCTTACGGTCTTATCACAGAGCACTGCGAGAGAGCATTTAACAAGAAGTTCACGCCTCCTTCCGCTGGCGTCGAACCTCGGACTTCTGGGTTCTAGCCCGAACTCTAACCACTGCGCCTCGGCTGCTCGTGTTTTTAGTGTCAACTTATGTGATTTTCACGTCCTATAAATCAAAATACAGGTAACATATAAACCAAAATATAGACAACTGGTTAAATAATTTATTATGGCTAACAATTAATTATAAAATATTAATATGTAAGTATGGTAATTATCTATTTTCATAATTGTCTTCCTTCCAGGTTTGATTGCATTATTAGGGGGAGGGGAAGAGGTTTTTTAGAAAACATTTTTTAGCACAATAGTGTGATATGTAAAATTTGTATCTAATTACATATATAGTTTGTATAATCAAATTGCTTTTTAATTATTTTAATAGGAGTATTTATAGAGTTTATTCAATATGCAAATGACGAGCTTTGGTAACATGCAGCAACCGAGAGGTTAAAGTGGGTGGAGGCAAGTAGAGACAATCTTTTTACCAAGTGTTAGTTAAGGGAGTACTACAGAAAAAAAATCAGAAATCGAAATTCTATGAAAAATTTCATTTTAATGTTGACGTATTGTATTGTTATATTTTTTCTAATTAAAAACAATTTAAAATATTCATTAATTATTCATAATGGGGATAAAATAACAAAAATAAGTGTCAAAATAATGGGGATAATAATAACAAAAATAGGTGGCAAAATAATGGGGATAATATTAACAAAAATAGGTGGCAAAACTAGAAAACTTGAAACTCGTTTTCTCAAGTTCCGATTTTCAAATGAATTTGAAACTTTATACACTTGTTCTGATGATTTCTCTCAATTTAACTATTTAATTATTCCCCTAAAAGAATACTTCAGATTTTAATGAGCATGTTTGTGCTTTAATATTTGGCTAAAGTGCTGCTCAAAAAAGTCAACGGGATAAAGTAAAAAACACTATAAAAACCTGTGGGTTAAATAATTGTTCTATGTGCAATAAATTATTGAAGAAAGTTTAACTCTTAGGCTTCGTTTTGAATGAGATAACATGTTTTGAAATTTTGTATTTCCGCTCTATGTAGAAAGTTAAAGAAAACTAAGAATTTAATTTTAAAATTAAAGAAAATTGAGAATTTAAGGTAGAAAATTAAAAGCAAAGTCAATACTAAACATTAAGAAAAAAAATCTCTTAACAATCTTGTGTAAATTCTACAGTTATATAAGAATTGTCTTTTTCATCCTTGTTTAAATGTCTTGCTTGTTTTGCTAAGTCTTTTTTTGTTGGTTTTTTCGAATCTACAAAACTCTTTCGCATCATTCTTAATCAAAAATAACATTTTATGAAAAAGATTTTTTGGGATACACAAACCGAGTAAGTTAAATGCTTTGAAAACATTTGTAACTGCAGTACGACCTTTATTGAAATAAAACAGAGCAGAATAAACTCCTATTTTCAGTGTGTCTGTTACAAAAACTGACTCATTTTCATTCTGAGTTTCTCCATGTAAACATCTAGTTAAAAACTTATCAGATATTAACTTTTTATATTCAGACGTAATTTAGAATCTGGACAAAAATAATATATAAATAATAATAAAGGTCTTCAAAATCCGTAAAATGGAAAGTATTACATGCACTACTCTTTTCATATAATAAAGTTGTGCTTTATATTTCTTTATAGCTATACCATGATAATTTTGCTGTTATAATTGATTGTTTTTTGGTTTGGTTTCCCTTTCCAGCTGGAGGCATTTTTTACCTTTTTGGATTTTACAATATTCCGTTATCTATTACCGAAACATTTTTGAGCATGTGAAGATTTTAATATAATGCCAATCAAACATTCAAGTTTGATTGGCATTATATTAAAATCTTTACAGGAATTATTAAGAACAACACGTTTGAAGGAACTTATATCTCCATCCCTTTGATTGGTGTATAAGAGGGTATTAAGATATTTACCGATTGGGTAGGAATTAGGTTTTCAACAACTACTTAATTATTGTTATAAAAATATTTTTCTGGTTTTTATAGTTAAGTTATTACTTTGCATTAAAAAGTTAAACATTTGTAGAAGCTACTTACAAATTGAAAGCTACTTTAAAACTGTTTGAAAACACAACTGGGTTTTTCAGCGCTTCGATAAAGCTTGGGCGGTGCTCTCCAAATATACTAATTTTCCAAAACTGATTAAAAAGCTGATAAGTGGATTTGAGAGCTTGTTTAGTACCGTAACCTAAACTACAGATTATGACGCAATAAAGAAATGTTTATTTAATGAATAATTGTCCTAATTTATACAACTTTTACAATCCAACTGTTGTAATAGACTATTACTATTATTATAAATTTTTTTTTTTTAATTAAATTTAGAAATTTTTTAACATAATGAAGGCTGCAACTTTCTTGCCGATGATTTTGATAATATTTTGCTCAACTATGTGTACCTAAATAATAGCCAACTTATTGAGTTAGAAGATGACGTCATGCAAACGAGCAGCCGTGGCGCAGTGGTAGCGCACTTGCCTTAGAAACAAAGGATCCCTGATTCAAACCCCACCTCTGGGCAAGTTTAGCGACACCGGTTGGGAAGGAGGCGTGAACTTCCTATTAAATGCTCATCCGCGGTGCTTTATTATAAGACCGTAAGGACTTCTTGGAGCACCTAAAGTAAAAAAAAAAAAAAAAAAGTTAGCTTTTAGGTGATGTTAGGTGACGAGTTAGGTGATAACGTCATGTTAAAACGAATAACGGTTGTTTGACGGTGCAGATTGTTTTTCAACCATAATAAGTAAGTAACTTTAAGGAAGTAACTTAAAGGAGTCTCTGCCTTCTATTAACACTTAACTTGATAATAACTCCTATTGTTTCTTGATTTGTGTGATAAAGCACCATTTCCACAATTCTCTTTAACGTCATTGCAATACACAGTAAGACTACCTTTTTCTATCAACTATAATTGCATAAAAAATCAAAGTAAATGATAAAGATTACAAACTAGTCATCTAAAAAAATTAATGGTTATAGATTTCCTTGCTCTTTGAATTTTTTTAACTCCTAATAACTATGGAAATTTATCGCCGTTGAATAACTCAGTCAGACTCATATTGAAACCAAATTTCACACTTTTCCGTCCTTCTTCTCAGAAATTGTTTATGTAAGAAATTTTTTCTAAGAATTTATTCAAAAATTCTTTTCACTTAAATTGTTTTTGTAAGAAATTTTTTCTAAGAATTTATTCAAAAATTCTTTTGACTTAAATTTTTTAATATGAGAAATTAGATAACAAAATTATAAAAGCAAGTAGTTTAAACTCATTTAAAAATTAAAAAAAATGTATTTTTATGCAGTAAAACTTTACCTGGTATGCAGTTTCAATTGAAATTATACTTAAAAATTAGCAACGGTCGTCGCTAATTGTTAATTTTAGTTAAAATTAGCAACGGCCGTCGCTAATTGTTAATACTAGTTAAAATTGTAATAGTTTTGAATTTAATAACTGAGTTATGAAATTTTAGTTTTTATTCTGAAACTCTTTATGCAGGGTCGTGAGCATGATTTTGTGTTATGGTTTCCAAATGTTTTAATGTGTTATATTAAACGATTAATCGACAAAATTCATTGACAGATTTCAAATTTCATAAAAAAAAACACTTTACATGTTCATAAATCTTAAACACTTTACATGGTAAAGTAAAGGAGATCATTAAACTAAAGGAGATCATTTGAAAAATTTGTAATCTGTCGATGAATTTTAATCGCATTCATAAAAAAACATTAAAAAAATTCATGAACTTAAAAAAATTTAAAGAAGATCGAAATTAGGGATTTGGATATCGATGGATAACCTCCAATTATTGCAAGTCATTCGACACAAGTTTTAACATCCTAAACATTTGAGTACGTAACATGACGAACAAAATCTCGAACAACAAATTTCCGGGAAACTCCTTCAAAACACGTAGTTTTACGCAGACCCATTGGCAAAAAATATAGTTGTTTTTAGCATTTTCAAAATGAAAAAGAGTTTTCTGGATATAATTATAATAATAAATTATAGTGATATATTGTAAGGTCTTAGAGCATGTTCCATTGCACTGTGACATATTGTTAAAATACCTTCGTAAAACAAAACTTTTACATAAAGAATGCCATTTAAAAGTCAAGATATAAATTCGTATTTATTTTGTATTAAAAAGCAGTCTCGTACGTGAATTTTTTTTCCAATCGAGTTTTTTTATAAAATAATGCAACTCGTAAACTTTAAACCTGCTTTTCAATGTCAAATTTAAGGCAATTGATGGAAACCACTTTAAAACACACACACGCACACACACACACACACACATACACACACACACACACACACACACACCAACACACACACAAAACAGACATAATTAAAAAAAAAAATCTAAACAAGGCTGAAAAACGTAGAAGTTTTGCTTTACCTCAAGTCACTCTAAGTAAGTAAATAAAGGTACGTCCGAAAGAGATAACCATTT